AAGAAGCTTCTAGCATTGAGATAAAAGCATCTGTTCTCTCAATATCACCCTTTTCTTCAATATTCCAATATCTATCATGAATTCTTTCAGTTAATTCCACTACAGTTAACCTCCGATTCTCAGCTTCTTTTTGTTGTTTTGTTTGAACAAATTCTATTACCGATTCGCAACCTTCATATATTTCATATTCACACTCTTCGAACATTTCCTAAAATACTTTCCATACATTAACGGTCAATAATTTGGCGTTTCTGTATATATGTTCGTGAAAAAGATGTCTGCATGGTAACAAATATCGATTTTGAAATAAACAGTAGCAATTAGGTGTAGTTAAACCTGGCACGCCTTTGCCTTTTTCAATCCTATCCATTACAGCACGAGCCTCCTTAACTAGTAGATTTTGAAGTGGAAAAGAAAACTTATGAATTTCTTTGATTATATCATCATCTATGCCATAGACAGATACTTTTTTAGTATGAAAGTTAAAGGTGACTCTTTCAGAATCAGATCGCTTTTTACAGTCAATATCAACAACATTATGCACAGCACCTAAAATAAAAGAAAACATAAATAAAAGAATTAAAAAATATATATATTAAACAAATGAGTTAATAAAAAGGGCAAACATACCAATTAGATTATGTGATGAAGACGTCAGTTTTTTTAATTCACTGTAGTAGGATTCTAATGGGTTCGTAGATGTAACTTGCAAAAGCAAAGGAGAATACTGACGCGTCCATAATCCCCATGCTGTATATTTTTTATATAATACCTTTTGATGTAATTTTTTATAGTAGGAATAGTACAATTATTAATAGCATCTTGCACAAGATTTTCACAACTGATCCTTGTTCTTTTGTGTATCGCTGCATTTATAATATTCCGAGTTTTTTTTTCATAAATTTTCGTCATCCACATTCTCATAATATGGACAACACAAAGGATTATTTCACATTCTTGTTTACCAGCACTTATATTGGGAAATGCTATTTTGATGCCTTTGGCTTCAATGCTACTTTGATCTGAAAGAATATAACGGGAAAACCAATAACAATAGCTACGAATAATTTTAGCGCTTTCGAAACAGTATTGCAATCTTCATTGCTTACAAAGAAGTGAGCACCTACATCCCAACATCCATAAGTATCACGAACGAATAAGGTGAAAAGGCGCCAATCATACTTATTTGTTTTGTGAGTTGAATCGATAAGCGTCAATCATCCATAACTCTGAAGTTTTTCAAGTTGTTTGGGATGTGTGAATACAATGCCCTTAGTAGACTTCGTGAACTGATGAAAAATACAATAACTTTCAACACAATATCCTTTTTCTACTAAAAAGGACATATATTTTGAAATATCTGATTTTAAATTCAAATTGCAAATAAGATGAGTTTCTAAAGGTCCACGCACTTTATATTTTATATTAGCCACCTCTTTACGTCTCAGCTCTTGCACACTTGCACCTAGGCCTAACTTGGTTGCATACTCTCTAACAGCGGAAGTGATTGCTGGAGGCGGATAGTTTTTTATCGCTTCCTTTTCTACCAAATCTCGAACAGTTTGAGACCGTTTTATTCTATCTGATTCTATTAATGAATATGTATGGTTGGAAGAGTCTTTATGGCATTCAACTTTGACAATTTTTAACGAGACTAGCCACAAAATTCTAATTTTAGCATGATATAGTTTAAATGGTCGTATTTTAGTTATTTAGCGTTTTGCATTAGAAATATTTTCCTTATTTCGTGTACTTGATTTCCAGTGCTTTGTAAAATGATAGACAAAATCTTTCTGAATGTCGCTATTTACTTGTTTGTATGAATTCCATTGTGTCCAGACATTTGAAACTAACGGCCACTAATTTTCATCAAAATCTTCCATTGGGATTTCTAAAGAACAACTTACATTAAAAAGTAAGTTCTGCCTTTCATCTATTGTGAGATTTGCTGATACAAAGTTTGATAGTGTGAAGTTTGATAATGCGAAGTTTGATGGTATAAAATTTGATGGGGTGGAGTTTGATAGTGTGAAGTTTGCTGGTGTAAGGTTTGTTGGTGTGAGATTTGTTGATGTTTGGTTTGTTGTTGATGTAACAATTGAAGCGGCGGCAGCGGACATATTAAAAGTATTATTTCTTAGACTTTAGAGGAGAAATTAAGGGAAGAGAAAGTATAAAGTACTTTAAAGCCTTCTTTTTATAGTTTCGCTTTGTTTCTTTTTTTTGCTTGAGTATAGGTAATTGCTAGCGAAAGCTAAGAAGCAAAAATTCTTATTTTTTCTTCCTTCATTTTTTAACTCACGCTAAGAATAAAAGACTTTCATAAAAAACAATAAATAAAATAGCATATTTTATACGACTTCACAGAAATCGTAAGCTGCATTGAAAAATACTTTTGAACCTAAGCCTCAAGACTGCAAGAGATAAAAAAATGCTTTATTATCATATGTTTATCATATGCTTATCTTATTATGCATATAATGATCGCGTGATTTAACTTGATCGTGTAGATACGTGACTTGTATATCACGTAACATGTACTTTGTCACATGACTAGATTTGATCACGTGATTTAACTCTGCTTTAGCCAACCCCCTATTAGGGCAGGTGACGAACATACTAATCCAAATTGATAATGTTGAGATTTCAATGAATGTTGACATTACAGAATCAAATGATTATTATATAGTTGCTGATAATGACTGGCTTACCAAGTACTAAGCACAATTACACTAGGATAAAGGAGCTTTTATTTTTAAATGGAATGGAATCATACATCAAATTCCAATGACCTGTTGGGAAAAACCTATATTTAATCAATTTTAGCAACCGATACCAGTAATAAACCCTGTAAATGATGAATATGAAGAAGAAACTTTAGTTCTACAGTGATATTATGCAGTTTTAGGAGATAATATTAGTCAACCAATTCTTGCTAAAGTTAAGCCAGATCAAATTTTAATTCAAGGGTAACGATATTCTTCACAGTACTATGAAAATTTAAAGCAAAAGTTTGATGTTCAACCTCCTAACAATGAAAAATGAAAATACCATTGACAAGGATCAGAAAATCAATGTTGGTATCATCATCGACTTGACAAGTTAACAGATACCTACAAATTATGTCAAAAAGAATGGGAATACTTATAATTACTCTCAAATATTTCAGAGGAAAAATCAAGGATTCCTAAAAACACCGCCTCTTTAGAAAGGAAACAACAGCAACACTTAACCATTTTTCTTAAATAAAATAATGATTTATTTGCAGATGATCTTTCTCAACTAGGGCATACTAATGTGAAAACACATTATATACCATTAGAAATCGATATGCCAATATGTCAAAGAGCATATCAAGTTGCTTCTCCTGAACAAGATTTTATTAAAGAAAAAGTCGATAAAATGCTGAAAAACAAATTAATATAACCATCTGAAAGTTCCTGAGCTTCTTCTGTAGTTTTAGTAAGAAAGAAAAATGGCAAACTAAGATTCTGTGTTAACTATCGGAAACTTAACAGTGTGATCTGACAGGATCGTTATCCTCTGCCACGTATTGATGAACTTTTGGATATGTTTGGTAAGGCTAAGTATTTCACAACGCTTGACTTAGCTAGTGGATACTGGCAAGTTGCTATGACATCTAAGGATCAACAAAAGACTGCATTCCTTACTAGTCATAGGCTTTACAAATTCACTGTCATGCCTTTTGGTTTAACTAATGCATCAGCAACATTCCAAAGGCTTATGAATAAAGTTTTTAGAGAAGAAATTGGGAAATATGTAGCTGTCTATTTAGATGATATCATTATCTTTTTAACCACGTTTAAAGAACATCTTGCCTATTTAAAAAATATATTTTAACGACTAAGGAAGGTTGGATTGAAATTAGGATGAGATAAATGTGAATTTGGAAAGCTTGAGCTTGCTTTCTTAGGACACATTGTAAATAAACAAGGAATCATTCCAGACCCTTCGAAAATTGAAAAGATTAGAGACTTTCTAATACCCTCTAATATTACTGAACTTCGTGGATTTTTAGGACTCGCTTCATATTATCGTTGATTTATACAAAACTTCTCAACCATCGTTGCACCTTTACATCTCTTACTCAAAAAGAAAAACTTTATAAATGGACAGAAACTCAATAGCAGGCATTCGAATACTTGAAGAAATGTTTGATTACAGCCCCTATCCTTATTTACCTGACTTTTCTAAGAAGTTTCTGTTATTTGCTGACGGATCATATATGGGACTAAGTTCTGTTTTAACTCAATTAGATGACTAATAAAAAGAACATATAATTGCATACGCTAGTCAAACTCTTAACAATGCTGAAAGAAACTATGCATCTACTGAACTTGAATGTCTCGCTGCTGTTTAGGCAATGGAACATTTCAGGACATACCTCCTTCATCAACCATTTGATTTAATCACTAACCATGCTGCGCTACAGTGGTTATTCAACAAACCTAACCTATCTCGTAAATTTATGAGATGGATTGTACGAATTATAGAATTCCCTTATAATATTTACTATTGCAAAGGCAAAATACATCAAAACGTTGATATACTTTCTAGATTACCTTCTCATTAATTCAGACATCAAAATTATAATTATTTAGAGTGAAAGCGAAAGCGTTAGCAGTATGACTAACGGCTCTAATATTCAACATGAACATAAACTTATATCAAAATCTTTACCAATATTTAATTCAATCAAAATACCCTGAATTATCTATACCTATACAACAACTTTCTATACAAAAATAAGCGAAACGTTATATTGTTTATAATCATCCCCTTTATTGATAAAATCTCTAAAATCCTTCAAACCCTTTCCTCATTATCAAATCAACTGAAATTGAATCTCTTTTACATAACATTCACAACGAACCTCTAGGAGGACACTTAGGACGTAATATAACCTTCAACAAACTGGTACACAAATACTATTGACCAAAGATATATGATACAATAAAGAAATGGGTGAAGACATGTAACGTATGCTAACGACAAGAAACACCTTGACGACAAGAGCCTTTACATCCAATTTCAGTTGGACAACCTTTTGACTGAATTGAAATTGGCTATATAGGACCACTACCACAAACTAAACAAGGTAACAGATACATCATTGTTGCTACAGAGTATCTTACTAAATAGGCTAAAGCTGATGCTGTACCTAATTATATTACACAAATAACAGCATAATTTATTTTCCAAGAAATCGTGTATAGGCATGAGAGTTCAAAAGAAGTATTAACTAATAGAGCTACGTCATTTCAAAATGAGCTAATAGTCACCTTGCTACATATTATTAGGATGAAGCACTGACTCTCTTCATCATATCACCCTCAGACAAATGGGTTGATTGAACGTTTTAATCAGACTTTGTGTACTATCTTAGCTAAATATGCTGAGCAACATCAAGGAGAATGGGATGTCTATCTCTCATTGGTCTTATTCACATATCACATAGCACAACAGGAGACAACCAAGCACAAACCCTTTGAGTTATTATACAGATGACATACTGTACTACCTATATATCTTTGAGTATCACAACCCACTACAACGCAAAAGCTGCCATAAATAATAGAACAATATCATCATCTTTTAACAACACAATTACAATAACGTTGACACAATGCACAATAGAATATTTTGCAATAACAGCAAAAGCAAAAGGAATATTACAACCAAACACATAAGGGCGTAGATTATTAAATCAGAGACAAAGTACTTTTATTTAATGTTTCAAGATCATATGTACATAGAGACAAATTCAAGGATATGTTTGATGGACCATTCTATATTCATAATATTATATGACCTGGTACATATAAATTGCAAATATTAGACAAACGAATTAGAAAAAATCTAACGCATACTGATCAACTTAAACCTTATCTTGAAAGAACCAATTGGGAGCCTCAGATTATCATTATGGATCAGTGAAATTAATATTATAAATACAGAACTTAAACAAACTTAGTCTGTAGGAAAAATGACAAATACCACTGTTGATGATTTCATTCTACAAGAATCGCAAAGAGCTCTAATTCAAGACTTATCTCTCGAACCACTAAAGCCTTATACCGAGGATATGCTTTATACTGAGAAAATTAAACGCACTTATCAAGCTTTTTTACGAGCACGATGTATGAAAAATTGTGTTTAAATTTTAATTAATGTTTTCTTCTTAGACAAACTACTAAATAATAATGATATGATGCCCGTGCAAAGGACTCTTCAAAGTCAAACAATTACCACGCATTACTATTAATATTCAACTCGTATTTATTTTCTTTTTAAAAATTTAGGAAGTCAACAAATTTTGAATACATGTTCTTTAACATTGACCTGAATTAAGTGACTTAAAACTAAGGAATATCAGGATCTCCTTAACCATGCTCTATAAATTTCTGTTAGAACAGAAATCTTAAGGAGGGAGTAATGTGATCAGGTAATGATCTTGATGATCATAGATCTACAATTGTGTGGTGAAGTACAAATGTCGATAATGTCAAACATATTTAATATGTCTAACATGTTTAATATAGCTAATATGTCTAACATATCAGATATGTCTAACATAGTTAATATAGTAGATATAGTTAAAATAGTTAATATATTAGATATATCAAAATATGTAATAGAATAGATATAAATATAACCCTTTTTGTCAATTAGAAGAGATAAGACCGACAGCTGTATAGAACCTTTCTCTTGTAAAAGATAGCGCAATGCTACTCTTCACCTCATGTATCTCTATTTCTTATTTCTCTTTTCTTATTTCTTTTATATATTATTATCTTATTATTTTCTTTTACTTTAATAAAGTATTTATTATTTCTTATCTGAAACTCTTCTCAAACTTAGTGTGAAAACTCTCAACTTGTAATTAAAGCCGCTTGCATCTGATAAACTTGATTTAATATAATAAACTGATAGCGAAGTAATCAAGATTATCGTAAACTAATTAAACTTATTATATAAACTATAAAAGAATCAACCCTCTGACACTGCGTCTAACAGTTGTAATCTAAAGAGATTGCACATTAACAATATAAATAAAACTGAAATGTTTAGTAAAGAATAATATGGGTTTAATTGATAT